CTCAGTTTCCCTATTCCACTTGCCAAAGAATTTTCCTAGCTTCTTACTAAACTGCCTCACTTGGTTTTTACTTTTGTAGGCTTTTGATGAATTTTAGACAAGAAGATAATGTGATAGAAGCAGCGCTTGAAGATCAGTGAAAGTGTCTAGGATAGCGATTGACTGCATTCCCACAGCAGTAGCATGAGCGCATCAAGGCTGTGAGATTTCCGAGGCTGAATGTAATAAAGATTACAGGGTGGAGCTAAAGTAGGTTTACAGTCGCTTGTGTGGGAAATACTATAGTAGTTAATGAATAACAGTACAAATTTAACTCTGTTTCACATACTTATAACTGTGAACCTACTTTTGTCCCACTGTGTATAGTTAAGAGAAAGCAAGCAGGACGTAAGCAGTGACAAGCAGGATGAAGGACATTGTCAGGAAAGGGAAAATGACTCCATGAGGCAAGGGTCAGGACTTCTGTAAAGACAATGCTCTTAAGGCAGGGCATAGCCCTGGTAGGAAATGGGTCATTCTGGTTCATTGTTAGGAAGAGTTTTCTGGTAATTTGCCATTAGCCTGAAATTTTATAAATCAGACAAGAATTTTCATGTTTTAAAAAATGACTGCCCATTATGAATTATAAATCTATAATTGTGTCCTTTCAGATAAGCTTGTTGGAATAGAGATCTCCACCCCCTTTTTCTTCAGGGTTGAATTTTGCCCATTACGCACATCCTGTAAAGGGAAACTGTGTGACCAGAGGGCACATTTCAGAGAACCTTTTTAATCTCTACATCTTTGGGAGGGAGGAGGGTGAACATTATGCACTCATGTGTGTTAAAACACTGTTAGTTGTTCATCATTCTTGATTTCATTTTCATACAGTTGGAGCAAAATGCTTAAAAAGAGTAAGTGGCAAACCAGGAACAGACCACACAAGCAGGGCTTACGCAGTTAGTCATCTCTTGTCAGCAGGGCCCCGCAGAGCCACAGCAGAGGGCTCCGAAGGAACTGGAGAGATGAGTTTCTGGCGTGGCTATGGATCTTTTATTGGAGTAACAATAGTTTATTCTTCAGATTAGGGGAATGCAAGCAAAGTTGCTTAGCATCAGGTGGGTGCTAAAAGAATGGCCCTTGGAGAGCAGGCCTTGGAAGTGGGACATACTCCACTCTCTCAAGAGACTTGCAAACTCTCTGGTTAGAGTGACTTGGGGGCAGTCCTTTCACAAACTAATAATGTTTAAGTCCTCTTTCCTCTTGATTGCTTTTGTTCTGATCTGCTTTCCGGCTTCCTCCACAGTTGCTCCCAGAGGTGGGTGCTGGGAAATGGGGCTCCCACAGAGAGAGAATGGTCCCAGATTTCTAGGCTTATGTAGTTCTTCACCACTGTATTTAACTTGGCTCCGCCCACTTGGTAGGTCCTGGAGAGCTGACTGGGTGGGGCTGGGGGAGCACCAGTCTGTCACTGCGCTTTAGCAACAAGCCCGTGTGGCCACAGAGCCAACTTTGTATAGGTAGGGCTCTCCTTCCAGAAAGAGGGAAGGTGGCACAGCGTGGAGGTTTAGTCTAGTCTAGGCTAGTTCTTGTACCAGGTTCACAAAACATACAACTCTGATTTGGGGCACATCTCCTAATCTCTGACTTCAGCCCCTTCATCTGTAGAACAGCAGTAATATCTACTCTCCCAGGCCTGAGACTAAGACCAGTGAAGGGATAATGTGAGTCTGCTCTAAAAAGCGTCAACTGCTACTGAAGCTTACGGAGCGTTTACTTCTTGTGACTAGTTTATATTCTGACCCTCAAGATTGTGGTTTCTTTATACATTTTACTATTTATTAAAGAAAAACTTGATATGCCCTCTAGGCTTTTAAAAAATTGCTGATGAAAAATTTAAAAACATTTTAAAGATATGACGCATTTTTTTCTTTCTTAGTAACAAAATCTTTTCAGTTACCTGTTACTCAGTTTGTTATTTTGTTTGGAGAAGACTTCCCTATTCTATGCCTTACTAACAATGAAAATAGATGAATTTATGACCTAATTTATAGCTCTTTTGTTGAAATCATGAAATGAGTTTGGGTTGACAGTTAAGGATTGGGCTTTTACAATTTTAGAAACAAATCCAGCTCCTCCTTTTGCAGTGAGTATACTGAGACTAAGTGATTAGGTAGCAAAATATTAAAATATTTAAAAAGGGAAAATGGCAAATCACTGAACAGGAACAGACCACACGAGCAGGCCTGGCTTTCAAGTTTCCTCATATAGGGTCCTTGTTACCATAATGTGCTGCTTCCCTTACAATTTGCTTAACTAAATAAAGGTGGTTAAGAAAATCATCACTGAATTCAGCTATCCCTGCATTTAACTGAAGCACTATTTAATTGTCCAAGACTGACATCTAAAGTTCAAATCTAAATCTTTTTCAGAGGGATCAATGAATATGACTACCCAGTAAAAACCAAATGTTCCTAATTACTACAGAGTGTTAGGCCAGGGATTATAAAACCTGAATTCTAGTCTCCGTTCTGCTGAATAACCTTAGTCAAGAAAAACGAATTTAATCTCTTTGAGCCAGTGTTACCAGCCATACAATGACAAGAATGACAACATGGGGTCCTGTCAGGACTTGGGGTTGGAGGGTCTATGAAACCCAGAAGCAGAGAGAGGGGTGGATATGGGAGAGATTGGTGTCTCCTTTTTGTATCCTGAGGATTTTGCATTAATCAACTACCTATTCATATTTTTCCACTATCTGGAAAGCCTTAGTTTTCCCCAACTTTTTTCCTAACCCAAAGCTCTCCTTATTTTAAGGTCCAGGTTACTATCCACTTCCTCTGTAGCACACACAGTTTTTCCTTTCTGAACTCATTTATTGCCCTTACATCTCATTCATCTGTTATTCATGGTACGTTGCTGTGGAATATGTCTTCCTTTTATACCTAATCTCTAGGGAGTTGGTTAATGTAGAAGAAAAAGTATAGACTTTGAAGATAAATAGATTTAGCTGTGTGTTCCTTAGCTGGCCACTTTAAAAAAAAATACATATTTTTAATTTTTATTTTTTTAATTGTATTTTCTTGTTTTTACTATTATAGTTGTCCCATATTTATTTAAGTAGTACATTTTTGAATAGATAATTTTTTTTTCAATACAATCAAAAGGGGGGAGGTACAGTGAAAAGTTATCTTTTACCCATGGTCTAACATCAAACTAGTCTTTCCCTCACTGTTACTAGTTTTTATATATCCTTTTGGAGTTTCTTATTTTTTCTTCCTTTTTATTTTACATAAAAGATGACACACTAATATAGTCTTAAGTATGTTGCTTTTTCACCTAGTTTATCTTGGAGATATTTTCTTTTCACTACGCAATGATCTTCCTCATTGTCCTGAATATTTTATGGATGGACCATAATTTAACCCGTGGTGGGAAATTTTTAGTTGGGTAAAGTCCCAAATGATTTTAAAATTTGAATGACCTTTGAGCCTTATCTAAGAAATATGCTCTTTATCTAAAACTCATTTCTGTAGTACTTTATAATTTGTAAGCACTTTACATTCTTAAAGTTAATCCTCATAAAACCTCTTTGGGGGTAATTACTGTATAGGTTTTACTAGATAAATAGAGAAAGGAAATATCTCTTCAGTCTTTTGCTGACTATGGCGTAAGATGCTTTAGTAAAAGTTGCACCGTGCTCTCCTCATGTGCTCTGCTGCTGGCAAATAGAGGTGTTTTTTTTTTTTTTTTTGAGAAACACAGCCTGCTTTGTAGGGGCTGATAAAAGTCTTCATTACTTCATTTATAACCATTTGTGAGTTTACTTCCTTTACTTTACTTCCTTAAAACCAGTAGAGCATGTAGAAAAGGATCTGCACAGAAATGAAGCTTTGAGAAACAAAACAAATGTAGAAAGAAGATATGCAAATATTCTTTTTATAGATTTAATTTTTGTGAACCTAACATTTTTTAACTGAACTATATCTCTGCAGAAAAAAGGGACTTGCTTAATAGAATTGAAAGCCTTCATGGAGATGAATATGGCTTTTCAAGTGATTAAAATGGGTAGGGCTGAGAAAAATAGGAAATACTTTAACCTGGGATTTAACATTTAATAAGAATCTCTGTTAAAGGAAGTACAGCCTTAGCTATGTAATCTGACCTGTTACGAATGCACAAATGAAAAAAGAAGGAAAGTACAAATGAAATGGAAGGAATTTAAGGTTTATTTTAAAATTTTTATTTGATATGAAACAAGATTAGTACTAAACCCAAAAACTGCTAATTCAACTACTTGATTGTTAAAGTGTGTAGTCAGACTATCACCAGGACCAGCAACTCTTTATATATGGAATGCTAATTTCCTACAAAATATTTCAAACATTTTAGTAACTCCTGAGATGTTTTTTGCCATTGATTTTTCCCTCATTTATAAACTGAGTTCTGGATGTCTGTATTGACATTTACCCTTTTATATAGTAATGCTGAAAACAGCCTAACGTCGGATTTTTAGAGATGTTTGGACACTCAGAGATTACCAACTAGTATTTGTTGTATCTGCATGTTAACTTGGCCCTTTCTAGTGAACCAGTGAGAACACCGTATCCCAGAAGGGTTGTAATTGGCCAGGTCAGCCACCTTGTCCAGAACTAGGTTCTTTCTCTTACAGCTTTAATTGACTGACACTGCACTAGTTGGAGAGAAGTTTAATTTTGAACACATTTTCTTGTTCTTCCTCTTCTTTTTCTTTCTAATGTGGGACACTTAATAAAGACCACAAACTTGCATGGAGCCTGGCTCAACGTGGGTATGTGAGAGAGACTGTGAAGTGAACTGAAACGGGAGGAACGAGACACTCGCGGGTGACCAGTTGGGAGCTGGCAGCTGAGCAGTACCCTATGTTTGCTAGTTTATTCTCTATCTTTCTCGCCCCAGGGCGGGAGCAGCCAGTTGTGTTCAGTTGAAGGTGTCATGTGCTGGTTAGTGGAGGCTTTTAAACGACTTTCTTTCCCTCTTAGGTCCTTTCCCATAACCTGTGCACAGTGCTGAAGGTTCCACATGACCCCGTTGCCCTTGAAGAGCACTTCAGGGATGATGATGAGGGGCCGGTCTCCAATCAGGGCTACATGCCGTATTTAAACAAGTTCATTTTGGAAAAGGTATGATGTTTGTCTAACCTCTTCTTGCTTACAGCTTTGTTTGATTTGCATATTGCAAGAGGGCATACAAAAAGAATGAAATTTTACCATTGCAACAGCACGGATGGACCTAGAGGGTATTAGGCTCAGTGAAATAAGTCAGTCAGAGAAAGACAAATACCATATGATTTCATTTTTATGTGGAACATAAAGAACAAAATAAACAAGCAAAGAGAAACAGACTCATAGAAAGAGAACTGGTGGTTGCCAGAAGGGGTGGGGTTAGAGCTCTGGGAGAAAGGTAGAGGAACTAAAAAGCACAAATTGGTAGCTACAGAATAGTCACAGGGATGTAAATACAGCATAGGAAATATAGTAACAAATATTGTGATAACCATATATGGTGTCAGATGGGTACTAGAAATATCGAGGGGAATACTGTGTAAACTATATGATTGTCTAACCACTAAAACAAAAACCAAAACTTTGTGAATATACTAAAAACTACTGTATTGTACACTTTAAAAAGTGACTCTTATGGTACGTGAATTATATCTCAATAAAAACAATTTAATCAAATTGTGTAGAAACTGATGTATGAGCTCTCAAAACTTAATAAGTTGATGCTGTATTTTCTGGAGCTTTTTTGGGCTACTGTTCTGTCCATTGATCAGGTAGCTCATATGTGCTCTGTAGTTGCATTACGTGTAAATATGCTCCATATTCAGCAAATATTTGATGGCCTGCTGAATGCAGGTGTTTAATCTTAAAAAAATAAAGACAGTAATGTCTGTTATTAAATATAGAACATGCTGAGAAAGTCTCAGAAATCTAGAAATTGCTTTGTTTTTCAGTGCTAAAATTTGTGTGGTCTGGGCCAGTGAATAGAGAAACATCATTTAGTATCTTAAAGTGTCATACCCTAATACTGCATTTTGTTCTCTTGGCTGTAACTTTCTTTAAGCATCTTGAGTTTTATGTTTTAAAATATTCTCTATTTTTAGCATTTAGGTATTTTAAAGTTTTATAACCAGGGGAGAAAATATAGCAGTGTTTTAAAAGTCCAAAATTAGCCACTAAATTTGGAAAAAAACTTATTCACAGAGTGGGTGAGGATGTGATGAAACAGTGAGCCCTTGTTTACTATTCCTTACCACCTGGAGTGGAATTTTGCCAGCCCTTCAATCCAAATAAAGCTGCCAAGGTTTCTATGGTGTGGGCTTAAATTGAGCAAAGATTAGTACTTTGTTTTGAAACTTACTTAAAAAAATGCTAATAGCAACTGAAGCATGTTAACATAAAATTTAGAGATTGTCACCCATTATGCCAAAAAAAAAATGATTAAATATTTGCAAGATGTGCTTTTATATGTATACTGGCTCATTTGATCCTCATGCTAATCCTGTGATGCATGGTTGGAATTCTTATCCTCATTTACCTCAAGAGAAAACAGAGCATAAGGTTGCCTAGCTAATGAGGTAGGTAGATTGTGAATCTAAGCCATTTAACTTCTAGACCAGTGTTCCTTTTTTTAAAAAAAAAGGTTTTATTTATTATTAATTTTTAGAGAGACAGAAAGGGAGGGAGAAAGAGAGAGAGAGAGAAACATTGCGCAAGAGACACATTGATCGGTTACCTCTCGCACGCCCCCAGTGGGACTTGGCCTACAACCCAGGCATGTGCCCTGACCAGGAATCGAAACAGCTACTTTCCGGTTCACAGGCCAGCACTCAATCCACTGAGCCACACCAGCCAGGTCTATACCTTTTTTTATTTTACTAATTAGTTTATGTGTGCCATGAGATGGAAAAGGTTGAAAATCACTGGTCTGAGCTATACAGTTAAAATCAATATTCCATTGGCAATATGCTAAGTCCTAATTGGGGAATCTGCTACTTTCTAACTTTTTTTTTGTCTTTTTGGAAACATATATACATGTGAAAGATAAACACACAGAGAAATATTTTAGTTCACTATAATTAATGTCCCTTCTCTAGAGGCTAGCAGCCTCTACATTCTGTTTTCCTACACTGACAGTTATATTTTTTTATCAGAAGCTTCAGTTCATATGTCAGTTGTAGTTCTTCCATAAAATGAGGTTTCAGATTGTTGAATGAATATGCCTTCAGCACCACAATGTCTTCAAATGTGTGCCAAACAACTGCCATTTAATAGGAAGTGGTATTGCTCTTAAATACCCCAAACCATGCTTTTGCACAGTTCTTTCTTTTTTTTTTAAACAAATTTATCATTTTACTATCTTTTTTTTTTCATCCTCACCTGAGGACATTTTTTCACTGCTTTTTAGAGAGAGAGGAAGGAAGAGAGAAAGGGAGAGAGTAACATCAATGAGAGAGAAAAGCATCCATTTGGTTGCCTCCCATATGCTCCCGGACTCGGGACGTATACGCCCAGACTGGACGAAACCCCAACCTAGGTATTTGCCCTGACTGGTAATCGAACCTGCAACCTTTCGGTTACAGGGTGATGCTCCAACCAAGTCACACCAGCCAGGGCTGCATGGTTCTTTCTTCTCTACTCTATTTTTTCTTTCATTGCTGCTTAAAAGTTATATAGTGTTAATTTGGCACAGTGGCCTAATTTGACTCTACATTTTCATCATTTTTTGAAGTTGTACAGGACTAAAAACTGCTGAGTGAATAAAGAGGTTCTATGCTGAGTACTATGGATGACTTGATGCCATTAGACACTTTGGCCAGCAGTATAAATCAAATCTAAGAGTGATGTACTTTCAAGAAATAACTTAAAAAAAAACACAAGCTTTATTACGACATAATTCATGCTCTATACAATTTAAATTTTTAAAATATACAATTAGTGGTTTTTAATGTAGTCACTTTTTGTGCAACCTTTACCACCACAATCATTTTGATATATTTTTATCACTCTCCCTCAAAAAGACCATATGTATCAGCAGTCATTCCTCCTCCCCCTCAGCCGTAGGCAACCACTAATCTACCTTCTGTCACTATGAGTTTGCCTATTCTGGACTTGTACAGTATGAATGGAATCATAATATACGTGGCCTTTTGTGTCTTGCCTTCTTTCACTTAGCATAATGTTTTCAAGATTCATCCACATTTTGTAGCACATAATAGCACCTCATTCGTTTTTATGGCTGAGTAATATTCCATCGTGGATACACCGCATTTTATTTGCATGCTCAATAGATCATAAACGTTTGAGTTGTTTCCACTTTTTGGTTATTATGAATTTACTGCTTTGAGCATTCATGTTCAAGTTTATGTATGGATATACAAGTATGTTTTCAGTTCTCTTGGGTGTATACAGGTATGGAATTGAGTCATATAGCAACTATATATTTAGCCTTTTGAGGAATTGCCAAACTATTTTCCAAAACAGCCGTGCATTTACTGTCCTACCAGGAATATGTGAGGGTTCTAATTTCTTCATATTCTTACCAACACTTGTTATTTTCTGTCTTTTTGATTATAGCTGTCCTTGGATGGGAGGTATGGTATCTTACTGTGTTTTGATTTGTATCTCCCTGATGATTAATATTGTGAAATATTGTTGTTTTTTTAAGTGATTTTCTTTATTGTAGAATGGTTTTCTGTATTGTAAAAACAGGCTATGGTTGTAAATTTAACAAGAACTTTATTTATTACCCACAACCTTATACCATTTAGAGGCAGCCACTGCTAAAATTTTATGTTTGCTTTGAGTCTTTTTTAAAATACATTTGTATGTATTTTTCAAGCTGGGATCATACTGAACGCTGAACATTAATATTTCCTTTTCATTCCATTAAGATCTTTTTGAGAACATTAGTATAAAGATAAAAATGCCAAGATTTATTTAGTCTATTGTGTATCAGGTGCTATGCTAAATGTTTTAAACAAGTGTTACTAATTGGAATGAAAATTCTAGTTTAGAGAAATGTGAGTTTAGTTTGGTAAATACTTTTAGTACTTTGCATCAGAATTGAGGTCCATAATTGCGATCTTATTCATAGGCATGGGTTTTGGTGAAAGGCAAAGATATGTTAAAAATAAGAACAACTCTACACATTTGTTTCTATGAAATTACCTTCCATTTGGACACCTTGAAATCAGTGACAGCCGTTACTAGTTTTCCAAAAGATGTGAGACCAACAATTTAATGTGTATGATATAAACTGGAATTTGGGAGCAGTTTGTAATCTTAGATGGAGCATGGAATTGTAGATTTCTAGACCCTTTCTAGTTAACATGGATTTAGAGATCATCCCAGTTAAAGTCCAGCTTCCTGATTGCGGCCTGCAGGGCCGAGTTCTGTTTGGCCTCTGCCAGCCTCTCCAGCCTCCACTTTCTCCATTCTCCTCTTGTTCACTTCAGGGCAGCCCTGTGGGCCTTCTCTCTGTTCCTCAAATTGTGATGACCCTTTCTGCCACAGAGCCTTCAGATGTGCTGCTTCCTCTGCGCCAAGACTTCCTCCCCCCATAACAGGCCGCTAATTCCTGTTCATCCTTTTAGGTCCTAGTTTGATTGTCACTTCCTCAGGGAGGTTTCTTTAGGTAGCACCCCACCCTTCTCAGAGCTAACCAGCTCTGCCACAAGCTGTTCTTAAATCCCCTGTTTTTCTCTCGCAGCGCTTACCACAGTTCTTAGCCACACGGGTTGTGTTATTGCTGTATTGTTTGATATCTGATTCCACCTTTAGGATGTAAGTTCTGTGATAACAAGGACTGGTTCACTGTTGTCCAGCTCTGTGGATTGTTTTCTTTGTGTGCAGAAGTGTTTAAGTTTGATGTAGTTTCATTTTTCTATTTTTGCTTTTTGTTGCCTGTGCTTCTAGTGTCATAGCCAAGAAATCATTGTCCTTTCCAGTGTCATGAAGCTTTCCCCTGATGTTTTCTTTTAGGAGTTTTATGATTTTGGGTCTTCCATTTAGATCTTTACTCCATTTTGAAATAATTTTTGTATATGATATGAGGGAAGGGTCCATCTTTATTTTGTTGCATTTGGATTTTTTTTTTTTTCTAACACCGTTTGTTGAAG